ACTAGTCCTTTGGCACCAAAGAACAGATCTGCTGCTGTAAATCAGTGAAGGAGGAAAATTACTGTAGTATTAGTGTAGCATTTACCTTAAAATAAGACTATGGTATTCATGAATTTGAAGCTAGACTAAAATACTTCCCTAAAAAATTGGAAGGTAAATGTGCTAGAAGGAGTAAGAAAAATAAGAAATACAAATTTTGTCTCATTCTGGTTGCTTAAATTAATTCTTGGTTGCTTTCAGGCTTACCTGAGGCTACAGGGAGAAAAGAAAAAAAAATAAAAACAGCCAAAGAACATGGGAAAATATGTCTGAATATAATGTATGCACAAAATGTGGGACACTTATCTTGTAAATGAGGCAATTTTCTACAGGAAGGAGATCCATTATTTTGTCGTACTTTCACAGCTCTAGAGACGCAGAGGTGCATTTTGTCAACCATGGTTTAAATTTTACATCAATAAAATAACCTTCTAAGGTATAGAAACCATTAAAAACGGTGAAACTGGCCATTCATCTTGCAACTACTCATCTAAATTTTAAAGAACAAAAACTTAATATAAATTTTTCTCCAGAAAGTTCTCATGCATAGAATTCCCTGTCTCCATGAACATTTGTTTAGTCCTTTATTTAGTTTGGTTTAGCTGTGTCTCTTTAGCCCTATTGCTTGCAAATCAATGCCTTTCTAAATAAAATACCAGATTTCTCAGAACACTGCTAATCAATTCATGCCACAGGTGAGTTATGTCACAATTTTTTTACCATTGTGAATAAAACAAATTGTGAGAAAAGATGCAAGTGTGTGTTCCTGAAAGTCTCAGTCCATCTTAGTGGAGCTATTTAAAAAGAGCAGTGACTTCACTGATTGTGAAGATATTTTCTGCAATAGATGGTTGTTCTGCATCACTACTCTGAGTGTATGGCTTTATGTAATAGTTTCATGATATGTTTTGGAGTGCTAGGTTCTGTATAAAAAAGTCTGGCTTTCTGTTTTTATGTTTAAGTCTTGGTTGGGGTTTTTTGGTTGGTTTGTTTGTTTGTTTAAGAAAGGATATATCTGTGAAAGAATTTCCCTGCTTCACTATTTAGAGCTCCTTTACAGATTAGGAATTGCCTGGTATTGTCCCTACTTCTGTTGTTGGCAATTTACGTACCAGCATCATAAAACCATGAATGTTGGTGTGCTTGTTTATCATGAGAATAAGACATTTCTTTGTCAGAATTCATTGGCAGTTAGTTCTGGAAGCAGAACTAAAATGGAAGAATTAGAAGAAAATATATGCAGAATATTGCTTATTGCAAAAATAGAATTGTTTGATGTATGCTTTTTAAGACAAAAGGAAAAGTAAAATAAGTTACAAAAATGGAGAGGAAGTGTAGGAAAGAGAGATGGATGTGTATTAAAAAGTTAAGTTTGTAATTGTTTAAAATTGGTAAGACAAAGCATTAAAAGGATGGATAGGATGACCAAGTCTGTCAAACAGACATTAATTTGGTGCAAGGTAGCATGGCTGCCTGGGAATAAACTGTGTTACATATCTGTAAATCTTCATAAGGTAATTTCACTCAACATAGAGTTCTGAGGGATGGATCTTTTCTCAGGAGAACGTGATGTTTTCAGAGAACAAGTTTGACTTTTCAGAGATACGTGACATTTAGTATTTGTAAAATGTTTGATTTGGCGCCATGTGACATGTTGATTTAGAAATTGGAGCGGTACAGAATCATCAGCATACATCAAATGTCTTCTAGAAAAATGGTTAATAGGTAATCAGTGTGGAGTATGTGGAGGTCCTCTGAGGATTAATTTTATATCTGATGGTGTTTAACCTTTTTATTAGTGATGAGGAAGAAGTACAGAGTCATTACTGATAAAAGCATGCAGATGACAGCATGGTTAGTGCCATGATAAATAGTGATCAGGGGAGAGCTAAGTCATCTAGTAAGGTGGAGCTGTATGTTCCGACACAGAAATGAAGACGTGCCTCCAGCCTCAAGAAACATTATTAAGGAGACAGTGATTGAAAAAGACATGGAAGCCATGCTTTGTGATGTGTGATCAGAAGTATCTGAAACAGGAGGGACACTTGGCATTATTATTATTATGTCATTAGAATACTTGATCCAGCTCATGCAACATCTCAACTCATGAACTCAGGGAAGCTCAGAAGAACAACTGTTCTGAACCATTAAGTCTTTGGGAGCACACCTTTGAAATTCCTTAAATCTAGAATCTCTTGAACCAGTCATACTTACAAGATTTGATCTGTGTTTGGAAACATGCTGTAGAGAACTGTTGTTTAACAATTGAGGCAGACTGCTAGTAGAAAAAAAGCCTGAATGACTAAACAAATTCAGGCTGAGAATAAGGTGAATTAATGTTTGGAAAAAACAGAGAGTTGAAGTGGATGTTCCTTTGGTACCTGTGGTCCTAATGGGATGCATGAGAGAGAGATGGTTGATACCATTATAAGGCCATTCTTCATAACCTTTGAATGATCATGGCAACTGGAAGAGGTGCCTGAGAGCTAGAGGAAAATAAATGTCAAAAAGAGCAAGTAAAAGGATACAGGAAACAACAGGCAGGTCAGCCTCACTTTAGAAGGTGATGGAGCAGCTAATTCTGGAAACCATTTTCAGGTGAATGAAGGACAAGATCAGGAGGAAGTAGCATGAACTCACCAAGGGGAAGGGAGCAATGTGATGACCTTCTTGACCAACTTGATAACCAGCTATGATGAATTGTCTGTCCTGGTAAATGAGAAGAGACCACCAGGTTTTGTCCAGCTTGACTGTAGTACCTCACAGAGAAGCTGATGGAGTATAGGCTGAATGAGCAGACAGTGGACAGGCAGAAAGCTGTGTGAGCATCCAGGCCCAAAGGGTGATGTTCTGTGGCACGTAATGTTAGTGACAGACTTGGGGGTCCAGTCCTGTTCAGCATCTTCATTAAAGATCTGGATGAGCGGGCAGAGCACACCTTCAGCAAGTTTGCAGTTGACACAGAACTGGAAGGGGCTGATACACTAAAGAACTGTTCAGCAAAATGCCAAGTCCTGCACCTGGAGAGGAATTCCCCCTGACATCAGTACAGGCTGGTGTCTGACCAGCTGGAGAGCAGCTTTGCAAAAGAGGTCTTATGGATCAAGGTGAACACCAGGCTGACCATGAGCCAACAACAGGCCCTCACAGTAAAGGCCAGTGGTCTCCTGGGTTGCATTAGGAGTATTCCCAGCAAGTCCAGGGTGGTGATCCTTCCCCTCTGCTCAGCACTGATGAGGTCAAAGCTGGAGTGCTGGGCCCAGTTCTAGGCTCCCCAGTACAGGAGAGACATGAATATACTGAAGACCATCCAGTGAAGGGCCACAGAGATGGTGGACTGGAGTATGTCTCTCTAATAAAAGGATACGAGTACAGGAACAGCACAGCCTGGAGAAGAGAAGGCTTCTCAGGGGGGATCTTATCAATGTTCATAAATATCTGAGGGGATGGTGCAAAGAGGACAGAGCCAGGCTCTATTCAGGGGTGCCCAGTGATGGGAGCAGAGGCGATGGGCACAACCTGAAACACAGGAGCTTCCCTGTAATCCATTAGAAAAATGAAAGATGTGACAGAAGTCTGCCACAGATTGCCTGTGATGGTTGTGGAGTCTCCAGCCCCACAAATACTCAGTAACTGGCTGTTGTCACTTGATGCACAGTTCTTACCTTCTTTTTAAATCTTTAGACCTATTTGGTACTTCAGATAGAGAGACCAAGTACAACTTTTTATAAAGATTTTTAAATGTTTAAGTAAGATGCTTTTGAAAAAATGTGAAAATTGCCCTAAAAGCTCAATTGTTTTAATGGCTAATAAATAATTAAAGGTAAATCAAGAGAGATACTTGAAAATATGCATGAAAATGTATATATATATACACCATATATAACAAGTGATATTATTTTGTAACATTATATCAGTACTTTCAAATAATTGAGCCTAAAACCTCTGAGCTAGCCTAATCTGTCATAAATCAATGATATTGTCCTGATCTATACTGTTTAGAGACATGAGCATACATAGCTATTATTATTTTTATTCCTATCCTGAAGCAAACTTTGGCAACTGAGAGGGTATGACCTTCCCAGTATAACATACTGGTGTCCCAGGAATATCAGATGTTTTTCACAAAGGATCAGAGATGCTTCTTCCAGCATTACAACCTGGAAAAAACATTCCTTTCATCAGGCGTGGAACACAAATTTGTGGAAAGCAAAAAAGAATTCGAATCACCCTGACAGTTTTTTGAACTTGCTCATACTCAGATGATTACAGTCACTCACACACAGACCTGAAATGGTTTCAGCGAGGTTGGAAAGTAGATTGAAGATTTGTGTGGCCTCAATTTTTCTTTTTGTTACAGTATAACATTTAAGTGAGTTTACTACTGACTTAATCCTCTTATAAGCAAGATTTGAAAGTAATTCTTTTATCTGGGTAGTGTAGTGATAGTGCCCTATTCTGCTGCGTGGGAGGTTCAAGAGTTCGCTCCTTGGGTCATCTAAGTTTGGGCATGTCAGTGTTGCAGCAGTAATGTTTTCAGCAGTGTCAAATGTGGGTCTCTCTTGTAGCTTGATGAGACCTTGTGAAAATACCAGAGGTATCTAAAATTAATTAATTCTTTTCCTTCTGAAAGAAGGTTATGGATGTGATGAATGAAATAAAGTATAATTTACTGCAAGAGATAATGACTAAAAACCAAGGGGGAAAAAAAAGCAGTAGCTAACTACATTTAAAAATAGAAAGTTATATATACCTGTAACACAGTTAAAAGCTGTTTTGCTGTCTGAATTTAGCAAGCAGACCTGGGATTCAGCCTTAGTGCTGCTAATGACTGGAGGCATTATTGATGTAGTGAACTAATTACCCATGTGATGAAGTTGCCTGTTGGAGGTTTTTGACTGCTTCATCACTGTGGCACCTCCTACAGGTTAATTGACAGAGCAGCACAGGTAAAAACCTCCAGGTGGAGGTCATGCTCTCCTTCATCCAGTCACAGAATCCTAATGACAGCAGTAAGTAATCTAGAGATGAATATTTTCCTGAATTATTGATTGAGTAGAGCTTTATCAATGGTTGCATCACAGAACTAAAGTCTGTAGTGCTGCACAGTCACTGCATGGGAAAATGCATATGTAGGAACTTTAAAAAGAAAACCAGAACAGCCTTTCTCACCTGAAGGAAAACCCACAGATATTAAAAGAAAGAAAAAAAAAAAAGAGTGGTAGGATTCTTGGATTAGTGGGCAGGACAGGAGCTGCAGGAGCTTCAGTGTTTGACTTAAAATTTGATCTACATATAAAATTATTTTATTTAATAAGGAAAATAATGAGTACCAATGTGTTCTTTCTATTTTTTCTTTTGCTCTATCCATTGATGAAGTAGAATATAAACTTCTGATATATGGGGCAGAAGAATTATAAAATTCATCTGAATGTTATTAGTATAAAGACATATTTAGGGTTTTTTTTTTCTGTTTTTAATTGTGGCATAGCTAAAAAACCTCCTGGGACTAGAAAAGCTACCACTGCCTTTGTTCTTTACTTAAAGCTAGAGCTGTGTTGTAAATAGTCTGTATTTTTCATCTAAGCTTAATATGCTGTAGTATAACAGGATGCATTAAGTGTTCTCTAACAACTGCAGAACTCATCAAGCAAATGGAAAGATTAGCCCTGAAATCAAGCTTCAAACTTTTATTTTCTCACAATCAATAGACAAGTAATGCATGTTGGATTTATAATGATATGAGATTGACTGCTTAAATCCTTTTTAAAGTTCAAAGCTGGAAACAGATTGTGTCTACAAGCAATCCACAGCAGAGTTTCTAAGCAGAGGCTTGTGATAAATAAGTGAAATTGGGTTTGACTGAAACAGCCCATCAGTCCCGTATGGGTTTAGCAGGAAGATTTCAGGCTCAAAAAGACAGAGGTTTGGAGAAGCATCAAGCACTGGTTTCACAGCACCTGAGATTGTTTTGTGGAGTCTGCTGGGAGATGTAAAGAAAAGAGGCTCATTAAAAATGAGTAGCACCAGGGAGAATGATTGAGCTTCAAGTACACTTGTGTTTTTTAGCTTGAAGAGTTTAAAGGTGAAGATACATTTTAAAAGCTCAACTGGCAGATGAGAGAATGCTGTCAGGTTTCTCAAAGAAATCCCTTTATATAGAGATAAATAGCATGTTATAGTAGTTTTTTGACAAAATCAAAGGAGAGAGAAAAAAGCAAACCCAAAAAATTACTCAGCTCAGAATGTCCTGATAGTAGGATGAAATAATAGTTAATCTCTCAGCTATCAAAATTGGATTTTGATAAAACAGGTTGTCTACAGTCCTGCTATCTGATAATTTCAGAGGCAGTATTTACTGCTTGTAAAAGCTGTGAAATCTGGGGAAGAAGTTAGTCTTGGGGCTCCCCTTGAGGATATTCTATCTGTAATAGCAGTTCAGCTATGGTATCTTGAAGTTTGCTGTCGGTCCACTGCCTTAGAGATGGCTTTTACCTAATCAAGACTTTGAACTGTTTTACACTGTTATATGTATTTACTTTAGAAAAACATGATATTGAGCTTTTAAATCAGAACTTAGATTCTTACTTGCTTTTTTTCAGATGTAATCTGAGCTGTTAACATACAGTTGTTACACAGTAGTTAAAGTAATATAAAATATCACAGGTTTTGATTAGTCTGTAAGGAAAAAGGATTGCTTGTCAGTGTGTGTCCATTTACCTAATGCTGGAAGACGGGGCATGAACAAAGCCACATTGACCTGGGAAATAACACTTTGGCTTGACTTGTTCAGTCAGAGCAAGTGTCCTTTGGCTTAATCTGAATTGCAAATTTATGTAATAAATGTGTTGAAGCAACATGGTCCTTTTTTTTTCATAGTCTCATAGCATGAAGTGCAGCTGATTACTGTTTGTTTGGTGAAAACTTGTGTGGCTCTTGGCACAACCATAGACAAAAGAACAGTGGCTGCTCAGTGTGCTACTTAAGTTTGCCTTCATTCACATCCATTCATTCCTGCCTATCCATTATAACATGGGGAAAAACTTTGTGGGGGGGAATTGAATGGCACGATTTCTAACTAAGAATGAAAGTGTTGGATTTTAGTAATTTTAAGAAAGAGGAGCTGTTTTTGGAAGTTATTAAAAAGTGCCTTAGTGAAAAACAGATTCCACTGGGATCAGGAATTTAATGGCTTTGTGAGTTGAATGGCTAGCAGTGCTGGTTGTGAAAAAGGTGTTCTGACTGTCTTTTATTAGGCTGTATTTCCCCAGAGCCCTAGGATGGATGTAGCATGAAAAGGTTTGTCTTCATGACAAACTGAAAATCTAATGCGGTGTTTCCTGAACAGATGTTAGAGAAATGGTCTGGTGTGGTCTCATAATCACAGTCTTGATGATTGTATGCTTCTGAGGTTATACTGTGTTTTAAATAGAGTGTTGGGATGAGCAGACCCAGCATTATGATAAATTTTGGCTGCAAGGCATATGTTTCAATCTCTTCCTCCCAGGTGGGATGGAAGAAAAGAGTAGGTTTTCCCACCCTTTTTTTCCTTCCTTATGAATTTCATTTTATTTTGCTTTATTTGCTTTTTTTTGCTTTATTTTGCTTTTATTTGCTTTCCATTATATATGATTTTTTTCTTGAATATCTTCTGTGCAGTTCTATATTGTTTTCCACTTCTACAGTTTTGTGGTGCTTTCCAAATGTCTTTCCCTGCTCTTCTCTCCCCTTCCCTGGATGAATCTTTCTGGGATAGCTCTACTGTGCTGTTTTGGTGAAAGATTCTGGGGTGCTTGGGTGAGGTGAAATGAAACGGACTAAGCAGTTTTTAGGATAATCAGTTAAAAAAGTGGAATTAATATGAAACTACTGAGAGTAGGCAGCTGTCCTATTTGGTTGGAATTTGCTTATTTTTGACACATCAGCACAACTGGTTACATCCCTCATAAATACCATATTGGGATGGTATAATAATATAATACCATAATGGTGAGTGATTCTTGAGTTTACCCTTTATCAGGGTAGCACTTCACCTAAGGTAACAAGTTAGGATTTTGCCTTTAGACATTGGTAGCTCTGTACAAGCAAATGAAACCAGGAGAGAGTGACATCAAATTCTTAATTTCTTACTGTGTTTAGATGTTTTCTTTCATTGCATCTGTACATGCTTGAGCATATTTTGGTGATAGATCTTTCCTCAGTATACTGAAAAGAGAAGCGAAGATAAAATTGCAATAAAATCTAAATGAGAAAAGGTTAGAGGCGTTCTACATAATAATTAAATTAATAGGGGCAGCATCTGTTGCCAGTCTAAGAAATCACAAATAGATGCTGAGTGGAAGAGAGATCCCTGTGGAATGTGCTTTGTCCCTCGGCTGACAGAAGGGTGAAGTGCTGCTGACTGCTGCTTCAAAGTCGCAGCTGGGAGGGGGAGTGTGGTCCAGGAGCTGCACTGAAAATCACACCTCTTCCTTTTCTTCCCTAGAAAAGAATACAGAGACAGTATGGGGTACAGTTGTGGGTTTTACTAGAGATTTCCAAAACAGAGGTGTCTTTTCAGATCCTTTAAGGGGTGCTGGATGGTGTCAAATTAAAGTATGCCTAATTGTTACCTTGTGTGAGTGCACTGTGTGCATTCCACCCTCCTGATCATGTCCTTACTAGTCTCCATTTCAGGTAAATGGGGAAAAAAATAATGTCTCCCATATCTCTGTTCCATAGCATCTGCTTTCTTTGCCAGCCAGGATGACTGACTGCTTTTACATGTTTAATAAAGGGGTTCTGTGCACTTCTGGGTGGTAGCTATAAAAAAAAATTAAAGAAATCCTATGGTATAAACGATATGAAATAGGTGTGCAGATGCATTTTTGTTTTTCTCAGTAGGCTTTTTCCACTGCCAGAATATAATTTGAATTTTTAATTCTGTTTTAAGTATATGAAGAAGGTTTCTTTTGTTATTTGTAGGTCAAAGCTTTATACTGAAATGTTTCAGGCTGTTTATATAAGAGTTTTTTTTGTATTTTGAAGCACATTTTTGTCATGTATTTGTGATAAACAAGATGCAAAACATATGGGAAATCTGCCTTTTGTTAATTCATTTCTGTAGTGGTTTTGACCAAAGTCCAGAATTTAATCATGTTCATTCAGCTCCAATAAAAATGTAAATCACCTGTCTCCCTTTTGCAACTGGTATGCCCAGCATGATCTTTTTTAATATGGTGTGTACATCTGTAGGTTAAAAAGATGTTACGAATTGGACTTCTTGTTGTTCTTGGAAAATCTTTGCAAAGTACTTCTCATATGGAGCTTTTTTTGGTACAAAAGTTATCCTAACATACGTTTGTAAAGTAAATTCCTTAATCTAGAATTCAAATTAAGCATAAATTAGTAATTTAAAAGGACAGCAATGCACATGGAAAAAAGAAAAGAAAAACAAAAAAATCCCACCAACCCCCTCCCTCCAACAGCCACTAAAATTTATCCATAGCTGTTATGCATACAAGAAATGTCTCTTACTATTAACTCATGTCAAACTGGAAGAATAGCTGTTAGTTTTAACACCCAGCATGATATCCTCCCTTTAACTAAAGCATAAAATTTGATGACTTCTGCAAATATGCTTGTTTTAATAGTACTTCTCAAAATAGAATCTCCATAATACATTTCTACATAATCCTGTACACTCCATAGAGGATTGAAAACTCAGGTATTTCTCTTGGTAGATGTCCTAACTAGTGACAACTGCAGCAGGGTTATAATTTGTGTGTGTAAGCATGTATGTGCACTTGCCCGTATAATTGATGCCATACGCTAAGAGAAGCTATCACTAATATTGTGAAATCGAACACCCTGACATTAAATAATGCCAGAAATAAGTTTGCTCATAGAATATTAATGTGCACTCTTTTTCCCATGGGCCTCATAAATATTCACTGATACAAAAATGACACAAATACATGGATTGTATTTGCTTACACAAGATAGATGATTTTTATTTTAAGAGCCTTTATTC